TTAAAATCTGTTGTGAACCCATAAAGACATGGGAGAGTTATGACTTTATCAACTAGGAGGAATCACATTGAACTAGCGGGTAAAGGAAAAGTAGTCCATAAAGGAATGCAAATAGATAGAGAGATAGGTTTTGAAGGGTTTAACTCAGGGTTTCTAGAGTGACAGGCAGAAACACTTGCTGAGTTAAAACAAACTTCTTTACGCACTCGAACGAGGATAAACAAGATATATGCTCCTATTTGTCACTACAACAGCATCAATTCTTAGTAATCAAACCTACAATCTACTCAGTCAATCACAAGAGAAAATTCCTTTTATCAATCTTGAATTTCATCAACCCAATTGATCAAAATAGTTTTAATTTAGACTTGGCATTGTAATCTAGAAGTAACTGTTAGAAAATCATCCTTTAAGGACCTTTCAAACCAGGACCTGAATGCAGTAGAATAGAACTTCACCTAAAAATCTCGTTGCCTCTTTCTCTGTGGGATTGACAATCCGAACTCAATAGAGTCATATATTACTGAAACGATACTTATACTTGCGTGAAAAACCCCTGTAAGTAATAATATCTAATTTTAAAAACTCAATTTATTTGCTAGGGAGCGGATCAAGTTTCTGGTATTATTATCAGGACTTACATTAATGTGATAATCGCTGAGAAATATCATGAGTCGAGGATTATAAAAGAGCCCTTTTATATAACTAAAGAAAAAGTTAATATAATGCAATTTGAATGAATCATGGAAAACATCTATTGTAGTGGTACTAAAAATTCTGACATGTCAAAGCTATCAAAAGATGAGTTTTAGACATCGAGTTGCAGGAAAAGGCAATAAACTTGATCATTCACCACATAGGTGGGGAGAGCGAGCAGCTAAAAAGAAGGGCTCAAATGTGATGGCGGGCAAAAACTAAAATGCGCAAACATTAGTGATAAACAAACATTAATTATTGGCAAGCATCAAACAACAATTAAATGCCCAAAGTCGAGTAATGGTCTACTTGGTCATTCTCTTTATGAGCGGAGAGATTGGTTGATTGATGAGACAAGCGCTAAACAACAAAGGTTGATGAACAATAGATGACAACAATTGGTATGCTTCATACAACAGTCAACAGGGAAAATCAGAAGTAGGACGACTATGGGCCATTGACTTAAACATTCTCTTAAAAAGAGAGAAAATTGGTTCATCATAAAGATGGGCATGGAACGTCAATGGTTAACAAACATTGAGCATCCATTTTTGACAACCAATTGATGTTAGGGAATGTAAAAGCATAGCGATTGATGAACAACAACCATTGTCAAGGGCCAAATAATGATTGAAAAGGGGCATCAGAAGTCGAACAATAGTGAAAACTCAAATTAGCCACTCTTATAATAGAAAGGTTGATTGAGCAACCAAAAGATGGGCATCAAGCAATGAGCATCGGTTGATAACAATGTTAAATGTTGCTAGTTAGCAAACATAACAGTCAGATGTTTGTGGTTAATAAATATCAATTATTAGCAAGCACTGGATAACAATCGATAAATAATATTGATGTTGGTCGGTGATCAAAACCAAATGGCGGCGATGAAGGACATTTATTTTAGTTAAAATTCAATAAATAATATTTTTGGGCAATGACGAGTATTAATACGGGTTGAAAACAGGCGTCGGGCATAAAACGCAAAGTTCTGTAATTCTCTACAAATTTCAATTTTTTCTTTACTGAAACTCTCCCTTGAATAGGTAGAAACATGACCTACTTACAGAATTCTAGACAGACATACTGATTAATTTTACAATATGTCTAGACAATCCATCAAATGATACAAATAGGTCTCTTGATGATCTTAAACTTTCTAGATATCTTAATGCCTACATAGAATTGAATGATTTTGAGCTTTCCATATTCATCCCATTGAGAGGTTTCTTTTAATCTGAACACATAAGATTTAGAGTACGTTTAAAACTCTAAATTACATCAAAAAAAATTTAATTATGTTTTAGAATGTTAAATTTGGGCCCATTTCAATTTCGATATTGATATTCAAAATATTATTGGATTCATCACATTAAATGACGCAATATCAACAATTAAAGTTTGCTAAAAAGAGAACTTCAAAAATCTCAAAATCAAATCATGAAGTTTTATTGTCAAAATACTTGATACTTTAATATCTATTTGGGTTAAAATCCATAATTGATCAAATAAATTTTAGGTGGTGTATCAATCACTAAATTTTTATTAATTACAAATTCTAAAAATATTTAGACATTTATGTGGGGAGGGAATTCATTAAAAAAAAACTTAACTTATGCTCCACAACTTTATGTAATTAATAATGTCAATTATTGATATCCTTTTCTTTGAATCTCATACTCAGTAAGCATCCAATATGTTATTCTCCAAATAGGCTTTTCTTTCATAACAGTAATAAATCAATTAATGCAGTTCTTTCAAATAGGTTGAATATTTTTCTATAGGAACATCCATATTGCTGCGCTATCTTTAACAAACTTGATGTCTTTCAAGATCTATAAATCTCATACAGCATTTTTTGTCATTTGGCTAAATGTAGGATTTAATTCAAGTAGGATTTATTAAATCTTATAAATCTAAATTATTAAATCTCAAAGCCGTTAAATTCAAAGAAAATTCTTTTACATGATAGATGTTAAATTTGATCAAATTTTGATAAATTATCAAATATAAACTATCAAGTTTTAAGATTTAAATGAAGGAGAAGAAGAGTATAACAAGTAGTGTAAATTTCTTAAATCCTACTTTCCTGAGGATTTACTAAATCTTTGATTTAGCCTAAACTAACAGAAAAATAAGATTTAAGATAATGTTAGGATTTAAGTGGCTTAAAAAACTGCTTATTGTATTCATCGAAGTCACTCAACTCTCAATGTTTTCAAACTAAATGAGTAGCATATAATAACTCTTAGGGGTTGATGAACAACCTTTCGATTTTAACTCAAGTATGATTTAGTAAATCCTACAAATTTGCATTTAATAAATCCTAAGGATATTAAATCCTAAAAACAATTTGGTAAGTCAAATGTTTCATAAAGAATTTCATATTATATATTGTTGATTATATCATCAAGAGTGATTCAATTTTGATTTAATTTTTAACTAACTCTATTTAAATTAATCAATAATTGAAATTTCACTGAGATAATAACAGCTATTCAGTACATTGATGTTCATTAATTGATTATAATCATTAATTCAAATTAAAAATAATTAATCAATAATTATTATTTACAAATTCCCAATTAATCATTAATAAAATTTTTATCAAGTCTGTCATGATTATATTAATTATTTATAATTCGATTATATTAATTTATTGTAATTAGTATTCCATCAAATTAATTAAAAATCAGCTTAAATTTAAATAAATTAAATTAGAAAAAACGTCAATTCAATAAAATCTTCACAATCATTCTTCAAAAAATTACAAAATTAATTAAAATAAATTAACCCAATTAAAACAAATAATAGTAATATAATTAACTTAATACTTTCAAGTAAATAGAATTTATTAAGAGACAATTTAGTTGGTTGAAAAGAAGAGTATTGCATTTGAAATCAGAGGTTTTGAAATTTTGACTATTTTGTTGGATGAAAAAGAATTTTGTGTAAAATTAAAGTGAAATTCAAACATAGTTCACATTTCATTTTGAGTATATTTGAAATTTGTTAGTTTTGGTTGATTTCTAAAAACACTACATATGATGTTGGTCACTGCAATTGCAACAGCCACCGCGACCACCCACAACGCAGCTAATAGCCATCATGACCAGATCCCGCCCGCCGTTGACGCCACCTACAGCCAACCTACAAGCCATAGGCCACCACCAAGCCACCACCGACACCGGTCTTTTGTAGACTGACCTTTGCCGCCACCTGACTTTTGCCTATCTGCCACGAGCATTTTGTCACGATCACCGCAATCCTAATATACTACATTTCAATTACAATGTATTCAATTCATACTGCATTCCTTTTTCAGTAAACTAAACAGCCTCTATATAATTCCGACTACCTTCCCCTCCCCCTCAAGCCTGAAACCTCTCTATGTATCTAAAACCCTCTTCATTCCCCCTATTCCACTTCTATCTGAAGCCTTCGAGAAGGCGAAGCGAGAAAAGGCTTCAAATAGAAGTTGTGACAAGCACAGGCATGCAAAGCAAGACCTGGTTACAGACACTTGCAGGAAAAGCAACATCCCAGATAATTTTTTCCCCTTTCTCCCCCAGCAAACTTTTCTTTTCATTACACTTCTAAATCCACCTGACTCTTGGATTTAATAAATCAGGGTTTACAGGATTTAACTTGTCCAAACAGGCCATTTGGCAGGATTTACGGTTAAATCCAGCTTAAATCCTGCACAAATCCACCACAAAAACAGCCCCTTACGAAACTCTCCAATGATGCAAAAAAGATAAATTTATTTCAGTTTTCAGTTCTACCTGATGCAGTTGTCATAGAATAAATAAGCAAACTAATTTCAGATCTATTAAATAAAAAGTAAGCATTTTAACCATAGACAGTAAAAGCCTAATTTTTTTTTTTTCCTTTTTTTTTTCAAACTAGGTCCACCGTCACAAAAAGTTGAGAGGCTGTATATGACAGAATATTGGCGTGCAACAACAACAAAATATTGGCATGGAATAACAACGGAAGAAGCCTATCCCATCAAAGTGAAGATACGATTTAGTCAATAGATTAGCCAATTAGAAAAATAAAACTACACGGCATCCCAATACAACTCGCAGCACGGCAATCAAGGATCGCCAAAATGTGTCAAATGACATAACGCAATGCTAAAGAATTCTATACCCCTGAAATGGCACCCAACCGATAAACAATCAAAACGCTGCAGGAATTAATCAAAAAAGAAAAAAGTCCAGGGAATTCAACAAGAAACCAATTGCTTCCATTAGGGATTAATCAGGAGTAATCATTGGGCGAAGCGTGGCTGGAGCTCATACCAGTAGGCATGCTTGCTTGATGGGAACGTGTCCGGTGAAAGACTGGTAGAGAGCAGTTTAGAAAAAGAAATCGAGCGGCAGCTTTAATGGAAGGGGAAAGTGGGAGACCGTCGAAGAGAAGATTTATCCACCATCTGCTTTGGGGATTTCTGGAACCGGAGATGGTATTTAACGGAGAATTAGTACGGCGTTATTGGTCGACGTATAAGGGGAAACGGCGACGAGCTGGGCCTGGGATGAGAGACAAATAAAGAGGACCGAACATGGTAGGCAAAGCCACGGAGGTTTGTATTAAGCGAGCTGGGCGGGCATTGGGTTGACCATTTCCTTTTTTTTTTTAATGAATTTTTCATGGCTTACAATTTGGATAATGAATGGGGAATGAATTGGTGTGTGATTTTAGACAAAAAAAAAAAAAATTAACAAGAATTAAAAAATTTTACTTTTCTTCGAAACAATAAAAATAAATAAATAAGATATTATAATTAAATAAGCATACTCATGCAAACTTTCTGTTAATCATTTTCAAATTTAAAATTTATATAAAAAGTTTTTCCATATAACTTGAACCACAACTTTTTGTAGCAACACGAAATAGTGAATAAAAAAAACAGTGAAAGAAATAAAAGTATAAGGAAAAGGAAAAGATATAAGATTATGTATAGTGGTTCGACATCAACCCTGCACCTCCTGAATTCTCTTGAGATTTCTATGACTTGCTCTTCTTACCACAACAAGTTAGAAAAACTTCTCTATTTCATGGATAATGAAAAAGCTCTATATCTTCTTTCACTCCAAGCAAAAGGATTGTTGCTTTAGCCCACTAGCTAGGCTACTAATTTTAGTGATTCAATATCCCTTATAAATACAAACATAAAAGCTCTTAAAACAACCAAAAATTTAAGCCATGAGGATCATAAGATATACATAATTGGTTGATACTAATAATGTAATCTATCATACAAAAACCCTCTCTAAAGTTTATCAGTGGTGGCTTAGACAATTTTCTTTAAAAATCACCTATATCTATAAAATAATCAATATCTTGTGTTGATTAAGCATGGGTGCCGTTAATTTCATTAGTATTGAATTTCATAACATCATCAAGAAAAAAAGGAAAAGAATTGATCACATGGCCAATAATGAATGGTGGAAAGATGATATTTTCATAGTATATTTCTTTGATTCGTTGGCAACTTAAGCCATCAGTATCACAAATGATAGAATAATATGTTCCTTGTTGCTTTATATAAAATTTGCAGCAGTGAAGTAATAATTTAATATCTCAGCATTTTACGAAATTCAGCACATAGACACATAATAAAAGAAATAAGAGAAAACCTAAAAAATTTGAACGTGAAAAAACTTAGAGATGAATAAAACTATAAGGTCTAGCCCAGTTGAAATGATCTCCTATAAGTTTGTAAGCACAAAGATAAACTCTTATCTCACAATCGGTAAAAAGCTAAGAGGTTTCTCTAATTATTATGTCCCTATACAAAAAAGTTTTGTTGTACAGCAATCAAACATAGTTTCTACTTGAATTTTTCACCTGATCTTTGATACACCGTGTTGGCGGTATGTCGTTGCATAGTATTTAGAACATTATGTTACTCTATATATTGGAGAATTTGTCACTCAATAGAGTACTTCGTTACTCTACAATGTGTGTCCTTACTCAACAATGTATTTCATTACTCTGTAAATTCCTTCCACCAATGGTCGAGCAACATAAGACTTTAAACCATTTTAAAACTTTGAAAAACTTAAAGGACTTAAAACCTTTAAACAATTTTAAATTTTTAAAGAAATTGATTATCAAAAGCTTGTAAATGACATAAAACCTCAAACTGAGAACTAAGCTTATAAACAAAATCAAATGAAGAACATTAACCAAGAGAGCCAATTGCAAAACATTAAATCTAGAGAAGACTCTGATTATCATGACAACTGACCAACATAGAAGCTAAAACAAAAAATGAATTAAATATCAAACCAAAAACAAAATATAAAATTCCCCGCATAAAAAAAAACAAAACCAAATCTTGGTAAATCCATCATGAACTCTAGGTTAGCCAACGTGGAATAAAATTGAGGATCACATATACCCTAGGTTAGGTCAGTTGAGAAACCTAGGTTAGACTACTCGGTACCCTAGTTAATGCTAAGGACTTTGACTTGTATAGCAAACAGGCTTACCCCCTTGAGAGTATGTAGGTGCCCTATGATGAAGTAACCCAAGGTTATAGACAAAAGTACCCCTAGCCAACTTTAACTTAGACACCCTCCATTTGCCATTATTATGTCAAGAAGTGGAGATTTTTTGTTATGAGTTTGGCTCATAGTTGAAGGATACCAACGAACTCAGGATGATGGAAAGTCATGGGCATCTTAATTGGCGTTGTTAATCATAAATTTTAGGTTAGTCTACCCATTTACTCCATGTTGAGTTTATGCTTATGTCAAAATTAGAGTTTTTCAACTCCAGATCCTTCCAACTTAAATAGCTCAAAGTCCAACCTTTTAAATCCATCTCTATAATTTAAACCTCCAAGCTTAACTCTCAATCAACATTCTCATCCAACCCTTTTCTTTTCTAATCTCTTTTGATTCAAACGTGACCTCAACTCAAGATTCTTTAATGATCAATAAAGTGGAATCTTTTGGGTAAACTGTCCTCTCTAGCATAGTTAAATCTCGTTTTTTGGAAATTTCTGCTTTTGTGCTTAATTCTATCAAAATTCTAAACATAGATTTATCTATCACCGTTTAAAATTCTAACTTTGAAAATCCAACCATGAAATCTAAATAATATAATTCAATTCTTTAATTGAAAATTTTCTCTAAAGTTCAAAGCTCGAGATATAATTAACTGATAGGGCTTGCCTTTATCGGGATACCAACTTTCAGAATAATGTAACTTTTATCTTATACTAGTCAGGTAAGGGAAAACCCCCTAATGATAAATCATAAAATTTTTCATCATCTGAAAGATCAATTTTAAGGTAGTATTTCCTCTCCTCAGGGTGGTTTAATTATTATTTAAAAATTGTATCCAATCATTTAGATAAAAATCTTTTAATTTCTTTGGTGGACACAATAAAATTGAAAAAAAATCTACAGGTAATTTTCATGTTGAGAATATTACTGCTATGGCAATTTTATAAGTTAAAAAACTGGCAATTGAACCTTCTGGTCCTATTAGATCAGGATTGAACTTATTGCATTTGAAGACATTGTAAGATAGAGATATAATATCCATCTTGTATTGATTTCCATTATTGTGGTGGTAAAGCCAAGCGAGCTTTAAGCTAATCAAAAGTTACTTAGCATTTGTCTATCCATTGAGATTCAATATTTATGATGCCTCTTAAAATTTTAAATAATAGGAGATATCTTTCTTCTGATTTTATCAGAAAGTAAGATAGAGTGATGATCCTTCAATTAGTATATGCACCACTTTTATATTTCTAGGATACATTATCTCTTTAAGGGCTTTATTTTTTTCAACATTAACCTTAAATCCACGGTGAGTGAGTAAAATATGAGGAACTTTATTGGTGTGGCTTCAAAGACACCCTTGATGTGGTTGATACTTATGTTATATTTCTAAAGAAGATTAAAATATTTTTGCTCTTAACTAACATGTCATTAATTTAGACCTCCATAATATATCTGATGAGCTCTTTGAAAGCTTTATTCATGAGATCCTCGTAAGTTACAGTTGTGCTCTTCAACCAAAAGGGCATCATCCTGAAATAATTTCTTTTCTTTTTAGAAAGAAGTAGCTTCCTTGTCAATGATATTCATCTTTATCTATTTGTAACCAAGATAATCTTCCATGAAGCCAATAGTTGATGTCTAGAGGTATTACTCCGAGTCTTAGTCTCAACTAAAAACAAATGTTAACAAAACATATTGTCAGTACATTATGTTAATGAAGCAACAGAGGTATTATTCATCACATAGAAATTAAAATTATTCAATCATAAAACAAATTTTCCCACTTATGCCACTACTTCATAACAAGAGGAAAGAGTAAGGAAAACTACTCAGTAAGCATAGAGAAAACACAACTGAAAATTTCATTTAAATCAAAACAAATTCACTAGATAAGTGTTTACAACAATTATAAGATATTGAAGAACACAATACTTAGCTTTCTCTCTCAGAAAGAAAGATCAAAATCCCTCCAACAAAGCCTCATGCTCATCCATGCAATGCTCATACAATCCCTTATAGATATCTCTCAAAATCTCTAAATAATCTCTCTAGAAAAGGTAAAAATCTACATTTACTACTCTTATCTAAGGCCTCTCGGCGTTCCTGGAGATTACAAGAGTTTGAAATGCAAAAAGATGTATTTCTGATACACCTAAAATATATATTATTTTTATGCATATTTTTATACCTATTTTTGAGATATTGCGTTTTAATGAAAGGTATTTGTGTGTTTTTCTTTAAGGTACAATCAAATGGATAAAAAATGCTAAAAAAAATGCTAAAAAGAATAAAAAATGCTAAAAAGAGTGGATAAGGGTCAAATTTGGAGCAAAAATGAAGAAAGGTGCAAAAATGAACAGGGCGCCTAAGCACTAGAGGCTCGGGCCTAAGTGTCAGGTACCTCACATTTAAGTGTCAGAAGTAGTTATTTGATGATTCGTTGTATTTAAAAGAATTTTGAAGAGGTGTTTGCAGCAACCCTTGGTAAAAATGTGAGAAATATCCCATGGACACAAAAATTCATTCAATTAGCTTTTGAGGAGGCAACTTCAACAAGATTCATTGAATAGAGCACATTTTGAAGGGACACCGAGGCACCTTTTGAATTTTTATTAAAAGAAGACTTAGATCATCAAAATAAGAGGCCAACTACCCATCAAATTTTACAACCACCATCCATCCAAGTCGTCGTTGTCGCCTCCGCCAGCCACTTTATTTTTATTTTGAGTGTTAGTTCGTATTTTGAGTGAATGAAGAGAATTTAAAGGAACTTCAGGACATTTGGTGGAGAGGATTTGAGATAAGTGTTTATCTTTGTGACTACACTTGGTTTTAATTTAGATTTCTTGTTAATAAGTGTTTATCTTAATTCACCAAGCCTCCGTCGACCACTTTACTTTTAAACTCATGTATGGTTGTGTTTTCTTCATGGATTATGAGTAGTTTTCTTTATCTTTTTCCTTAAAATGATAAGTGATTAAGTGTTTAAAGGAAGTTGTGTGAAGTATTAGACTTCAATGTTGGAAGAAGTTGTGATGA